GGGCAGAGCCCCCGTCAGTACTGACCAGTGCGCTGAGGGCAGAGCCCTAGCTGGGGAATCTGATCTCCGTGACAGCTGGCCAGCTGAACAGTGTGTCCTGTCTCTCACCTTTGTAGAGTACTCCTTCGGACAGCCCATGTTCACGTCGATTCCAGCTACGTCATTCTCGCTTTCAAGAAGAAAAACACAGAGAGAGGAAGGAGTCATTGGCCACACCCATGGAAGAGGAGAGTTCAAAGAGGTGAATTGGGTAAAATACTCTTCAGAAGTTAGAAAAGCTGAGAAATTTACAGCAATTTACTCCCTGACTTGAATAAGAACAACTTAATCCAGCTCCTTATCTGGCATCTGGTTGATTACCACTGGTATTACTGTGGAGCACTTTATTCATTTTTCTTATGTGGCCTTTCCAAAATATCATGGTATACCGACTAACGTCCGTATACACAACCGGTTTAGGAATGCAGCTCCAAACTAACCTTTTTTATTTAACTAATTAATTGGACAGCATTAACTCTTTCCATGTTTTAAATTACAGCGCACAGAGGCAAGAGCTACATAGCTCACAAGTCCTTAAAAACCCCTCCACTGCCGAACTCCAGTTCGACCAGAGGCCTAAGGCTCGTGTGGAACCCGAGTAAAGTCAGTGAAATGACGAGGAGTTGGCAGGCCAGAGGACTGGATCGAGAGTCCAGCTGCGAGGTGTGGGGGTACAGGGGGCTGCAGAGGACGAGGATCGAGGACTCACACAAGCTGGGCCACTCGCAGAGCTCTCTGTGGGTCAGCTGTGCCCTGAAAGACAGACAGCACACAGGGCTGGAAAAGAGCAGCACAGGACTCCCCCTCCGCTCCACAGCCAGCCCTGCTCCTAGCTCTGTCTCTGACTGAAGTATCCTCCTGGTGTCCACTGCCTGCACACAGCTGCTGCAGTCCAACGCGGACCACTCTGTCTGGTTCCTGGACTTTACAGCACAGGTGATTAAGGGTGACCTATGAAAAGGAATGCGGCGTTGCACTCCAGGACTACAAAACCCTGCTCTGAACTGACATTTCTTAAAATGAGGGTCGCAACCTAAAAACAGGTCAACATTTCCAATGGATTGCCAAATTAGAATTAAAAAATGAATTCAGGACACCATCATGAAGATCTACTTCAACATCCTGCAAGTGAACAACATTGTCGGGGAAGACCAGTTCATATCGTCTGGCTTCTAGGACTTTGAGATCTGCGCTCGTGCTTTGCCTGTCAGACCAGCAATTTTAAAGGGGAACTGCAACGCTATTTTTATATTTCCAGGTTATAAAGAATCAGCATTGATGAGTGCATTCCAAACCACTGTGAAATTAAAATGTACATAATAATGTAAAACCTCCAATTAACATAACAAAATAGATGATTTAGTGCTGAATTTGGAATTTTTAAGATTTTGCAATACACCCAATTATTATTTAAAAATATATATTTTTTACTGAGGTTTAATAACTGGTCTAAAATTGGGAATATAATTCCCCTTTAAGTACAATTTTGAATTTAGCTAAAATATAGATTAAAACAGAAGTATAATACATAAAATGAACATTGTGCTTGAATTAATAAAAACCTGCAATTTGATTGGCAGACCACAAATATAAATTATAGAAATATGCACTGTAAAAACACTTAATCAAAATCACTTTTTAAAGTTAACCCTTTATCCAAACAGACTGTCATGAGTAAATTACATGGTGTCTAGGTACAGTTCAGAATTTAAAATAATTCTACATGTCCGATAGTATATGTGGCATCAAATATGAACTGCAACTCGATGCACTGAGAAACATCTCTGTGTTTGCATTCATTTGATCAATTTCACTGTTTTACACAGTAAGCTTGCACTGTTTTTTTATTAAGCTTGTAAAAGGTACATGTATGCTTTAGTTACACATTTTAGTTTCATCCACCCTGAACACGATCGTTCAGAAAGTGGTTCTTCTTTCTCCTCTCCCTGGACCTGCAGCGAAGCAGTGAGAGGGGCATCATTCTGGAGCACCATGCTGCTGGCGCCTGCGTCACCACGGCAACAAGGTGATGCCAGCCAGTCAGCTCTAATTTAAGAGAAAATACTGGCAGAGGTGGGGGGGGGGGGTTTGCTTACCAGAATAAGCAAACAGCAGAAAGCATTTATCAATCATTTATAAATAATAAAAGACTCAGCTTGCCTTAGTTTGGGCACCTTGAGCTGCCGAAGAAGGAGCAATGGTGCTCAGTGAGGTCTGGAAAAATCCAGTCCCATCTGAAGGACTTTGTTTACAAATGTTTATTGTGCGAACGTGGCCCAGCAGTGCATTAGCAGAGAGCTGACACAGTGAGCACAAACAGTCTTGCTCCAGCGGGGTCAGCAGGGAAATGCAGGCAAAGCCTTGCTTTATTAAGAGGTCAGTGTTTCAAGAATTTCAGCTGAAGACGCTGAATCCCTAAAAATGCTTTTCCTTTCCTACATTTTAAGAGATGCATAATTGATTGGCTGATTGGCTGACTGTCCCAAAGCTGGATTTGCCCTTACCATCTGGAAGACCACATGCTCTTTTTCCCGCTGGCAGGTCCTGAAGACCACCTTCTCATCTGGAGCCACAAAGTCCACTGTCTCCAACACTTCTGTGTGGGCAAGAGAGCAGGCAGACAGGAGGGTCAGCTCCTGCACCAGGCTTGGCCTCTGCTGAACCCCCACAGCCACTGTCAGGCCAGGGCTGACCGCAAGGGTTGCAAGTGCTCAGCCCCACACCCTTGTAGCCACTGTCAGGCCAGGAGCTCACTGGCATGCAGGGGGTTGACCACCAGGCTCTGTGAGGGCTCAGCCCCACACCCAAGCACTGTCAGGCCAGGGCTGACCACCAGGCTGGGAGCTGACTTCTAGTTCACTGCTCAGCAAGCTGTACAAACCTGTGCTCATACGGAACTATTCAGGTTGATACCCAACACAGGATAATGTCATGATGCTAGTTTAAAGTCTATCGAAAAGCTAAAGTTTTATTTTGTTTAGAGATTGAACTGGCACTTCTGAAAAGGGTAAAGAGCTGATTTGGGTTCTCAGACCCATATGGTAACAACAGCCCATATTTTCTTTCCTTCTGAGTGTTGCATTGTGTTGAAACCGGGTTTGTAAAAAGAGGGCCTTTTGTAACTGGAATGTTTTCAAACATTTTCAGGAGTGATGGAGGCATGCAGTTTTTCAGATCTGGGACATGTCAGCTGCTTCCCAACACTGAGATGTACTCTGTTCTGACAAAAGGGATACGCACCGTTCTCCACCCTGCGGCACTGCAGCATTTTGAGATCAATCAGCTCCTGTTGAGGGGAAAGAAAAACTGCTGATCAGCTGTCAACACCACCCAACAAAGATTGCTCAGAGACTGCCACTACCCCCTCTACTGTGCCGAGCTTAACTTTCCATCCGGGGGATGCCCTGCACCAATGAGCACACTTGAAGGGAGCCTTCACTTCCTCATCTAGCTCCACTAGAAAAAACAGGAGATAAGACATGGGCCTTGATTCCTTATAGTCATCTATGTAAGCCAAATCAATCTGTACCATGAATGTCCACAGACCTACACCAAAATAAAAACCCAACAGCTTTGACTGACAGCTCTGTACTCTCACAGCCTCTGTGTGCTTGGCTCTGCTCCCTTTGCTGTGTGTGATCATCTGCGGATGGATAGTCAGTCTACGTAGCAAATAGAAAACAACTATATCCAGAACAGCCGAGAAAAGGAACAATTTAAAAACAAACGAAAAATGTATGCTGTTGTGACTTTATCTGGCACCCCAAATTCCTACCAAAAAGCACTACTAACCCTGCAGAACACTTCTACCACTCAGCGACAGACACCCTCCCCCACCTTCACTTCCAAGCTTCAGATGCATCTCGCTCAGTCCTGATGTTGAAATGTTATCAGCTCAAGCAGAATCTCTGAACGCTGTGGCCCCGGAACCTTTTTTTTCAGCGCTCTTTCCCTGCGAGCTGGCAGCTCTCTCAGGATAATATACCCACTCCTCACAATGCCACCACTCTTTCAACAGCAATTAGTGATCCTAACAATCACAGTCACAGGGTAATGGATTCAGTTCTACTGAGTTCATTTAATAGGAAGGAAAGCATTAAGAGAAAAGCACTAATGGTGTCTTAATGCCGTCTTAACAATAAAGCTGCCAGTCTCTCTCCAAACGCCCCCAGAAAACACGAGAGGTAAAGATCTTTAGCTTTCAGGATAAAAAAAACCTGCAGCAACAAAACAATTGTCTTTCTTCTTATTTCAAGTCTGTACATCTAAAAATAGGCTAAGGACGTTACATGTCAAATCATCAACAAATGTTATGAAAATGTCACCCTGCCAAGGGTATTATTTGAATGGTCAATTCCCAAGGAGCTCCTAATACTTGTGTTCCAGTTATGGGAAAACACGCACAGCTCTTTTAAGAGCAAATAATTAAAAAATGTAAAATCCGCATTAACAGAATTGTAAACCATACTTTTCATGGTTAAACACAGGATCAGTGTGTGTCTTTGCTTTGCACTGTTAGATATAGAAGAACAAATGAGAGGAGGCCTTTTGGCTCATCTAATTATTTGGTAGTTTGTAGCCTATTGATCCAATTGATCAAGCCGTTTCTTGTAAGAAGCCAGGGTATCGCCTTAAGACAACATAGCTGGTAGCTCGTGCCCCCTGCTCTAAGTTTTAAACAGACTTCCATGTGGTTTTCACTTCCAGTGTTCTCAGATCCCTTGAGGATTCTGAATAGTTGTCTGTCGGTGTAGGACATCCCCCAAAGCTCTGGTTGCTCTTCTCTAGACTGAGTGCAGAGCACAAATATCTTTTCTACAATGTCGTGATCAAACCTTTACACAATACACAAAATTTGGCCTTACTAGTTCATTATACTATTATAACTTAACAACTCTTTCCATGTTATTATGTTATTATTTGCTTACCCACACAGTCTAGAAGATGTAAATTATGTATCAACATAAACATCAACATCATTTTCATAAGTAACCTATTTTATTCAGGTGTTTGTCCAGGTTGGATTTTTATCTAAATCTTCTTGAATTTCATTTATAGCTTCTACAATGCTTGATACTTTTCTAATTTGGTATAATTTGCAAACAGAACTACTTCACAGACTATCATGATCATAGATATAAATTCAGAAAAGCAGTGGTCCTCGAACAGATCCCTGGGGTACTCCACTAACTACATCATCTCAAGTTCTTTAATGCCTCAATGTGAGAAAGAAAAACAGCAGAAAAACTTTTTTTCATAGCATTGTTTCAAGGTGAAAGTATAACTTTTGCTAGACTGTTTACTGTCTGACTTTGGTTGTACTTTAAATATTCCTGACTATAAAAGAGATAAACAGTAAAATTATTCAGAATCAACAGTGAAACATAAACAAGAGAACATAGATGTAAACCACAGTGAAATTCAATTAAAAACTACTTATAGAAGGCACATTTTTACACAGAGGGTTGCAGGAGTCTTGCACAAGCTACCCATTCATGCTATTCCTTTCAAGAACCTTTTAAGTGAATTTCATCTTTTTATCAGTAAACAAGACAAGGGCAAGACAAGCCATATGGCCTCCTCTTGCTTACAACCTTTCTTCTGTTCTTGTGACTGTCCTTTGTGGTAGCAGAGCTGGTGTGAAGCACCCGAAGAAGGCTCCTTAACCAAAATGTCATGTTTCTTTCCTTTGCTTTTCAGCAGGGAATAAACCTTTACTTGTTCCTTTACAGCCTACGCATGCTGACACAACAACCTACTTGTACTACTTCATCCACAGTAGCTACACCTGAGATACACATTAGCTATTCGTCCTTCTCCAACCTTATAAATGGAGAAGCATTGTTTGACCAACTTTTACTCTGTATTGATGCTATCATGTCTTTGTGATAAAGGGAAGAGATGGATTTATCGTTTAAATCTCCCAAAATATTCTCAAGGACAGCAATTTGCAAGAGATAGTATAGCTGCAAGGTCACTGTCGAGCAGTGTTATAATTGCTGTGGTACTGGAGTACACAGATACGACTCTGGCAATACGGCGAGAGGTTTTCATCTTTTGTCTCCTCTCTCTCCAGTGCAGGGTGACACTCTGACACAATGAGTCATCACCTGCCGATGTAAACCTCTTATGGCTCTGGATCAGCCTTTACTGTGAACAGGAGAGAGGGAAAGAGGCAATTGTCTCTTTGAACTTAAGTCATGGATGGCTCTTCAAAAACATGAAAGAGCAGCCTACTTGATTCAAGTCATTTGCTGCCCTGTGACATCACTTCACAATGACAGTCAGACACAGTCTCCAACTTCCAAGCAATAATTTTCAATTACATAAAAGCACCATCTTGGCTTACATCATTAAGTGTTATGCAAGAAACTTTTTAAAGAAAGATTTTGTGTTTGCAGAAAACTTTTGTAATATTTAAAGACAATACAATAAGGTCAAAAAAAGTCAGGAGTTGTTTTTTTTCCCCAACTAAATATACAGTAGTATTTTGTATTATCAGCTGTAGAGTATTTAGCTTTAAACATGTACATATCCTCTACTACTCTGCTTTAGAAAACAGGACATATTTGCACATTTACCCCGATAATGCAAGACTGCAACCGGAGCATCAAAACTGTTCCATCTTGTGCGTCAAAAAAAGTTCAGTTATCCTGATTTCCCTTTTTGCAACATTAGAACCATTTAAATGAATGCCTGCATACACATTGGCCCTCATGGCTTTTACCAACTTACCCCATAATAACAATCTTGGTGCCATCCTTAGAAGATGGATGTTAACATAAACCCCCTCACCTCGCAGTAGACAATATCTGCACCATAGTCCAGGGCCAGCAGGCGCATGGGCAGGGTGCCCACGCGCACCATGGGAGCCAGCACAAGCTTGTTCCGGAAGCAGAGTCTCCCCACGGCCGGCTGCATCCCGACTACTTTCATTATCTGCAAGAGGGACAAGGATGTCAACCAGCTGTCCGAACTGTTTATCAAGATGCTTCTGAGAACTCACTTCCTAACCGATTCCACTGGACGACGGATGGTCTTGAGTCTGACTCGAGACCTCCTTCTACAGGGCTGTGAAGAAGTCAGATGCATTTTCAATTTGAGCAGAAAAAGGTAGCAAATACTGAGAAAGAGTTATTAATACTAAAGCCTGATTAGCTACAGCACACATCATATGACGTTTAAAGACATCCATCTGAATCAGGGAGCACCCTGGGATTAACAACAACAGCAGCACTACTCCCTTTCACATCAAGGCACGAAAAAACCTTTTTTCTCTTTCACTCTTAAGAATCCAAGTGCATCTCCAGCTTGAAGTCAAAGGAAATGACACCTCTTCCTCAGAATGTTAATATTAGTTACTGAAAGAAAGGGAAGCAATGTTTGTGTTCAATACTAGGAGTTGAAGACCACTATTTCTCACTTACATGACTTGTTACACTACAGATTTTTTACTATGTAGTTTTCTACTTCTATCAAAGCAACCACATAAGAAAGTAGGGGTTTAATGTTTTACCTTATCAAAGAAATTCTCCTCAGTCCTGCTTCGCTTTCACGCAGCTCCCTTCGAGGTACAGTGCAGGGCTGAGCTGGTCACGCTGTCTGCCTGCCCATGCTGTAGTTCAGAGCGGAAGGGTTATAATGTGATCCGAGTTTAGAAAATTAGTAGTAAAGCCAGTTAAACACAATACCTCGGTTTGTACTAAGTTAAGCACACGAATCCTGGCTTCAGGTACACCTCAATGAGGAAGACTATGGGGACAAAATAATAGTCAGAATATCAGTGTTTCCATGATGTGGCTACTACCCGACAATTAACCAGCTGTAGGAACATGAGGGATAGTGATGTCATCCTTCCTGTGCGACACATTCTTGGATACGTCATCATGCCGCGTCGGAGTGATTCAGACGGTACAGTTAAGTACACGTGTGGACAGTTCTGAGTTGATTTTCTAAAGGAAAATCGTGATTTTTATCCGAAGTGGTAGTGTATTATGGTTACCTGCTAAGTGATGCGACATTTTATATGAAGTTCTAAAGGACTGTTTATGAAAACCTTGTATAGTGCTGATCACCTTAGTGACAACTAGTTATTGTTACTTTTGAAGTCATCTGCTGTGGGAGATTAATATGTAGTGCTGGGATAATTGTTTATTTTCACAACAAATCTATTCTGTCTCAGTTCAAAATGTACTGTTTCGGGGTGACTCGCGTCACCTTGTCTGCCGTGACGCTTAAGACAGCTAAAGAGTTATGTTCAGCGGCGAATTACATGAGAGGCTCTCGGAGCCTCAGCTGGGTCATGCCCTGTTCTGCCCTCCCGAGCCGAGGCAAGTCGAAGATTGCACACAGCGGCACGGAGCAGACAGTAATCCGGGTTCCTCGCTGGATGCAAGAACGCATCGACAGCGTCGAGAAGGTGAAAAGCAAACAGTTCCGGAAGGTAATTACGGCCCGACCCGGCAAGATGCTGGTAGTCAGCAGACGTCCTCAGTTCAGCCAGCCCTCCAGCCACACCCTGGGCAAATTTGAGACGCCTCTCCTTGCTTCCAGAGGCTGGAAACACAAAAAGTCATTCGGGGACTATTTTACCATAAACAACACCCAGGACGCACCGCCGTTCATCATGGAGGACCAGAAGGGGGAGAAAGAGGAAGGCAAGAGTAAAGTAACCTTTAAGTCTTTACACCTGTTCACAGAGTTAGTAGAAACACTTCAGGCTATGGGTATCGTTAATCCCACCACTGTGCAGCTGGAGACCATTCCCAAATTACTGCGCGGCCACCACGTTCTCTGTGCAGCCGAAACAGGGAGTGGAAAAACACTGACCTATTTACTGCCCGTAATCCAGAAGCTGATCAGTGCCGCTCGGGAGGGTGAACCGGGAGCCCAGACTCGGTGTGTGGTGCTAGTGCCGTCCAGGGAACTGGCTGAGCAGGTGAAAGGGGTGGCCCAGTCCCTGTGCCGCCCCCTGGGGCTGGCTGTGAGAGCAGTGGGCGGGGGCAGAGGTGTTGGCAGCATTAAACGGGTCTTCTCCTGCGGCCCGCCGGATCTTCTGGTTGCCACCCCAGGGGCCCTGTACAAGGCCCTCCGCAGGCGCTGCGTGGACCTGAGTGAGCTCAGCTACTTGGTCATGGATGAGGCAGACACCTTGTTCGACGAGAGCTTCGCGGGGATGGTGGAGAGCATTCTGCTGCAGACGCAGGTGGCGTCAAGCCCCCTGGAGACCACGGGCCTGGACCGCGGGACCCAGCTGGTGATGATCGGGGCCACGTTCCCGGGGGGCGTTGGCGAGCTTCTCGGCCAAGTCACTGACCTCGGGAGCGTTGTCACCGTTAAGAGCCGAGGTCTGCACTGCCTGATGCCACACGTCAAGCAGACCTTCATGAAGATGCGGGGCGCCGACAAGCTGCTGGAGCTGCTGCAGGCCGTCAGGGCTGTGGCCGCAGAGCAGGAGGGGTCTGGGGTGTTGGTGTTCTGTAACAGCGCCGCCACGGTGAACTGGCTGGGCTACGAGCTGGAGGAGCAGGGCATGAAGCACCTGAGGCTGCAGGGACAGATGCCAGCGGCCAGGCGGGCTGGTATTTTCAGAATGTTTCAGAAAGGCCAGGTGGACGTCCTGGTCTGCACTGACATTGCATCCAGGGGCCTGGACACCCAGAGGGTGAAGCTGGTGGTCAACTACGACTGTCCTCCCACGCTCACCGATTACCTGCACAGGGCGGGGCGCGTGGGGCGCGCGGGCAGCGGGGCCGGGGGCGTGGTGCTCAGCTTTGTCACGCACCCCTGGGACGTGGAGCTGGTCCAGAAGATTGAGACAGCCACACGGAGGAGAAGGAGCCTGCCAGGGATGGAGTCTGCCATTCACAAACCTCTGCCTAGTGCGGCAGCCGATAGTGAACTTCAATAAAACTCGTCCTTCATTATATAGTGAAATGTCATGCTGTTGAAACCTCTGGGTAAATATGTGGCTTTTTTGTGTAAAAAATGCTTTCTTTGCCTGTGTTGATAATTAACATCTGCACTTATTTTTATATTTTAAATGTGATCTCAAATTAAAATGATTGTGCAGTCTAAAAGGAATTATTAAACCTCCAAAGTGAAGAATGCCCAGTTCATTGATTGCTACTTATTGTTTTCCTAAGGAATATTAAGTATTCTTTTGGCTTTCTTTCAGAAGGTAAATCTTTAATTATTACAGTTAATAATTTACTTTAACTCTTCTCTTTCACTTTCACCCAGGAAGTAAGCATATTGAAAGGTTAATGGAGTATTTTATCACACAATTTGGCTTAAAAGGGAACTGCGGTCCCAATTTCTCAGACCGGTTCTTAAATCTCAGTAACAAAATAATTTCATTGACAGTTTAGAAAAGTTTACAAATTTCATATTAAGCACAACAAAGCACAACACGCCAGCAGCCATTATCACCCTGCAACTCACAACTGGCAACCCACTGAAGCTAAACAGGTGTGAGCCTGGTCAGTACCTGGATGGGAGACCTCCTGGGGTTGCTGCTGGAAGAGGTGTTAGTGGGGCCAGCAGGGGGCGCTCACCCTGCAGCTCATGTGGGTCCTAATGCCCCAGTGTAGTGACGGGGACACTATACTGTAAACAGGCGCCGTCCTTCAGATGAGACGTGAAACTGAGGTCCTGACTCTCTGTGGTCATTAAAAATTCCAGGGCGTTTCTTGAAAAGAGTAGGGGTGTACCCCGGCGTCCTGGCCAAATTTCCCATTGGCCTTTATCAATCATGGCCTCCTAACAATCCCCCTCTATAAATTGGCTTCATTACTCACCTCTCCTCCCCACTGATAGCTGATGTGTGGTGAGCGTTCTGGCGCACTATGGCTGCCGTCGCATCATAGGGGTTACACCCCTACTCTTTTTGAGAAACGCCCTGGGATCTTTAATGACCACAGAGTCAGGACCTCGGGTTAACGTCTCATCCGAAGGATGGCGCCTGTTTGTTATGGAAGCAGTCAAAACGCTATCCAAAGCTATTGGTAAACAAGAATCAGCACACCCTGATGGTGTTTTTATTATTGCAGGTGATTTTAATCAGGGAAATCTTAAATCAGTTGTGCCTAATACAACTGAGCAGTACTGTACCTCACCCCCCTCTTGGACAATCTGACCACATCTCTCTGTTCCTACTCACAGCCTACAGGCGACTTCTCAAACTCACCAAGGCATCAGTTATAATTGTAAAAACATGGACCAAAGAGGAAGAATCAATGCTTCAGGACTGTTTTGAGTGCACAGACTGGAGTGTGTTCAAAGATGCAGCCTCCCACAGATCCCACATCAATATCGAAATGTATATTTTTCTCTTTTTGCGTATTTGCAGTTTTTGACAATTTTGCACTGGCACCATACTGTTACTGTTTACACTGTTATTGTTATTGTATTACTGTTTATTGTCTTGTCTGCTGTTCTATTTATATACTGCACCTGAGAGACTGAGAGACACTTTTCACTATACTATGTACCCATGTAAGTACTGTATAAGTTGAATAATAGAATTCCCATGAACTGCAAAATCATGCGGCCCTTCCTGCTCACTAGTTACTAGAATAACTAATGATAATAAAGATGATGCAGTGTGCGAGCAAATTATGTACAGGCTGTGTACCAGATATTTCACTGCAGAAAGTTGATAAATTTAATCTGCATGCAGAGTTAAATAGTAAGTTTAATTTATTGGCAAAACCATCTTATATAAAAATAGAGTTGTAGTTCCGCTTTAACCTGATTGGCTGAGGGCTGACCCATTGGCCACAGAGGGAGGAGGCTGGGACTCCCATGTGGAGTGAGAAGTGACCAAGGGGCAACTGCAGAGGTGCAGATGGGCTGGAGGTTGGATGCAAAAAGATGTATGCAAGACAGATGGGGATAAAGTATGGTCATTAGTCATGTTTTAGGAGAGGAAGTGATGTCAGGAGTGATTACGAATTACTGACAGCTGAGGCTGATTGAACTTGGCTGTTGTCATGCCTCCCGAACCTTTGTTAGAAACTCCGTTTAGTCTGAAACAGCCAAGAGGCCAGGGAGCTGGGAAGTGAAGTTGACAGCAGTGTCCTGTCTTGTTTTCAAGCTGAAGGAAACCGTTCTGCCTCCACTGAGCTCTTGTTTGTTGTGGCCCTTGAGTTCCTGAGGTTTAACCTGACATTTCACAGTCACCGTTAATCCTGCGGTTTAGTCTTTGTGTTGCTTGTGTCCTGGCTGGAAAGACGAAGTGGAGCTTCACCAGAGTTTTTGAGACAATGCAGCACCATGTGAGACTTAAGTCAATGACCTTCAGCGTGCTCTTCTTAATGGCTCCCCTTCATTGAGGACACCTTTATTCCGCTGGCTAGGATACTTCCTAAAAACCCTTTTCAAATATAAAGGTTTGTATAGCTGCATAATTGACAAAACAAACAACATCAATATACAATTAATTCCAAGTGTATATTAAATATTTCCATCATTTTGTATTATAATTAAGAATGTGTTTAGTATTCAGTTTTTTGGCTTATCAGATGCTTGTGTAGTTGTTACTGAATATTCATCTATTTTCCAACTGCATTAATCAGTACGGAGTCATGGGAAACCAGCAAGCAACAGCACCACTGTGCTGCCCTGTTATTTTTTAAATGAAGACGTGTTTGGCATGCATGGAGCTTGGATGTAACCTTTTATAGTTCATACAGGTGAAATTATAATGCTGTTGGGTTAGTTTGAGAGGTCTTTCTAAAGAAGCAGACTAAGGACTTCGAGTTCTCAGTCAACATGGAAGCTAGTCTGCATGGCCTGTGGTGCAAAGGCAGAAGAAAGATTTTTACTGCTGGCCATGTGGAAGGGCTTTAAACAAATATGATCCTGGCCAGTTCTTGATGATTCACTAATGTACTGTAGTTTGAAACTGTGTTTATCACCCAGGCACAACTTGCATGTAGGTCCTGGTTTATTTCTCTGTGAATGAAGTGTGTGTGGTGTACTATGTTCATTTAAACCCTAATTTGCTAAGATAAACAGAGATAAGTTATGTTCCTTGTCCATTAATGCCATGCTGGTATGCTGGTTTGAAAGATTAATGAGCCAAAAAGAAACAGAAATCCTGACTAAGTGCTGGGAGACACTCTCACTGAATAGCAAAGCTGCCCTTCTGTGTCTCTCTAGTCTCTCTGTAGAGCTGTCTTTTATCGCCCATGTGTCATCCTTCTTTCCTGATTGTTTTCTAATACCACATAATGACTGAGACAAGCAGTCAGGAGACGGCCTGGCGCGGCAGTGAAGCAGATCAGAGGCTCAGTGCCTGTCAGGCTGCGGGAGTCCAGATTCATCCCCCTGTGGCTGAAGGCACGGGGTAGCCTGGCCCACATCTTCATTAGCAAGACCCCACGCTTCGTCTGCAAGGGCTTTCCCTCCGAGCTCCTTAGAATCTGGGCTCCAGTGTAGCAGTGGCACAGCGCTCCAGCAGGCTGGAAGTAGGCCGTAGCAGCTTTCTTGTCTCCCTCACTGCACCGAGTGCTACTCCTGAGCAATACAGGTCCTGACGTCTGGACCGACTCAGCTCGGGGTCACTGCAGCAGCAGCGGAGTGCCTCTGAAGAGAGATCTGTCGTTTATCAGCGATACAGACTGTCTCCTTCCCTCACTGGATACCTAGCTTGAGCCTTTCATGCACGATTCACTAGGAAAATAAATTTAATGTTTATCGCAATTTCCCGCACACAAAATGTTTTGCAAATTCTTTGACAGGGAAAAACTATTGCAACTTCACAGTTCATTATCCAGCAAAAGTAAGTAATAATAAAGAATTTCCAAGAGAATTATGACTTATTTTAAATTTGCATTGCTACGTTTTGTATAACATAACTTGTAAATCACAGGTTAAAAAAGTTCTCTAGGCCTTTGCCATGATTTTGCTTTATTTTACTACACTTTGCTCTTTCCCTTGTGTAGGATGACAGACCTACTATAACACTATTGGGTAGAAGTCTCTGGCAAACATAAAGGCACCATAAAGTGTTGTACCTGGGCTGTTTAGCTGTTGGTTTGACAAACTGTGTTAAGGTAATCTCAAAACGAGAGAGAAAAGGCAGCTCCTCACACAAGGAAGATCTGGGGTTTAGGGAACACACACGACAACACCAACACACAGAAATGATTTGCAGCTTTCCTGTACAAACCACTGCTGGCTCTCTTTCAAGAAGACACATTCTCTGAGGAGGATGGGCTGGAAAATAGAATAACAGTAAGTAAATGCCAATCAATGCATTTAACATTCTTTTTTTAAAGTGGAATCCATTTTAATGAACACACTGGTCAAATACTGTCACACATATACATTGTAATGAAAGGAATTTTAGGTTATAACATTTATTCTTTCTTAGCCTCCTTTTTTTCCACAGTTCACTCTGTGTACTTTCACTCAGGTGTCCTTCATGTTGCATTTCTCCTCCACGATGAGACACGGTGTCACAGCATTAAAGACATACACACAAAAACAGACATATAAAGTACTCTTTCTTACACTATTGTTCTCTTTCCTGTTTTACAATGCCTATAAAACTATTTCACTAGGAATGACAACAACCAAGATGAAAGCTTCATGGAGCTAAATTGTGGCTTTACCCACTTGGCTTAGGGTTGGCCTCCCGGCCAGTGGACAAGTAGACCAGGACCCCCATGCAAGGTGACCAAGGGGCAGCTGCAGAGGTGGAGATGGGGTGGAGGCCTGCACACGAGAGAGATAGGGATCTCGTAGGTGTTTATAGCGTTTGGGAGAGGAGTGGATTGTCAGGAGTGACTGCTTAATACTGACAGCTGAGTCCAATTGAGCTTGGTTGTTATCATCTCTCCCGAACTTTTGTTATAAACTCCATAAAGAAACATACAGATCGTTTGGTTGAGTGGAATCTTTCTGGTTTTGCCATTGATATGTTAAAAACTATCAACAGGGTGTGCTCAGGAAAAACAATGTCTGATTAAATGACTATATAACTGTCTTGCTGTGCACAGAGGCTGTAAGCAGTCAGGAGTGCACCAAGACAAGAACAGAGTGTCTGAGCGTGGAGAGGAGCTCTGTGCCTGTCAGCCGGAGATGTAGCTCCTTGTTTTCTCTCTACAGGAGTGCTGCTGCCCTGCACGGTGGAAACATGACAGGAAGTCAGAATAGATTGTCACTATCGATCATGACTTTCCTTTGCAGCAGTATAGTTAATAAAAGACCACTGAGAACAAAAGATACAGGTCTTTTAGGAGGGTAGAGAGTATGGGATTAAGCAGAAGAGGTATGTTCCAGGAAACAGGAAATAAAACACTGGGCTGCTTGTCTGTTGGGCTTGTGTACACCCATAACTTGTTTGATTTCAAAATGTGTTTCATTGCCATGTGCTGCTCTTCCTAGAAAAACAACACAGGAGTCTGCCAGAACTTCCTCTCCTGCTACCTGCAGTAGAATTGGATGAGGCCAATTATTTTTTGAAGCACAATAAGAGACTTTTACAGGTGTCGGAAGATAACGCATATAAAGCAACATTCTTCTTTTTCTTGTTTGTGTTACCAGCTTACCGTGAGGCAGGAGAAGACGAGGGACATAAGTGGCACTGCTTGAGCTCAGAGAGAGAAGCAAAGCGGGCCTGTGTCCCTCTGCTGGGTACCCTATCCATAGCCCCACAGCAGCCACATAATAAATACACAGAAATACAATTACTTTTACTTTGAGATAGAAGTGTCCAGTGCTTGTTTCAGCACCTGTTCTGTTTGTGGGGAAATGTTCCCAAAGTCCTCTCCATCTGGGCTGCGGAGTTCAGACGTTGGTGGTGGAGTGGGTGGTGGAGAAGTTCTCCATTCGGATTCGGACCACCTTCTCCTCGGGTGGTGGGGGGAACAGGAATTTGCAGGTGAAGACTTGCTGGCAGGCCTTCCGGAAGTTCTCCGACAGGAAGGCGTACAGGATGGGGTTGACGCAGGAGTTGCCGTAGGCCAGGCAGTGAGAGATGATACGGAAGGCGAAGGAGGCGTCATTGAGGGGAAACTCCCCGAATTCTGCCCACATGGCGATGATGTGGTGGGGCATCCAGCAGATTAGGAAAGCAGCAACGACCAGGAGCACTGTCTGCGCCGTCTGGAAAAGAGAGACACTGGGCATGTCACCAACATAACACACTATCTATCAACATTATCTGCTGACCAGAGCAAGACTACTGACAGCTGAGGACACGAGTGTGACGTTAGATTCCTCACAGTTAGCTGAAGGTGATCCTGCTGGAAATATAATTTTGCTGTAAAGGTTTCAAGCCTTTGCTAACACATAAGGGGCTTACTTTTACGTTACATTTAGTAATTTTGTCAGTCACTTTTATCCAGTTACTTACACTCCCATCCAGTCAAGATTCCAAGTAATGTCTTTGCAGAGGTCATTCATAGTATTTAGACCTGTGTCTGTACGCATCAATTTACGATCAGGCCACTGATTTTAATTTTATCTATTATCGGAACTAATATATACTATGTCATGAGTTAACTCTAGCCTCTGTGAGTTGTGGAAGTTCACTGCAGGCCAATATTATTTTATTGCAGTTATGCATGAGTTTCCCTGGGTATATTTGAATGCTATTGTGTGTGTAAATAGCATTTTGGAATAAAACAGCCTCCTGCCCATGTGGTTGAATAAAACCTGGAGACTCTGTAATTACAGCCGCTGCCTGATTCACTCATAATTACTGTCATTTGCATTAACATGAGTTGCACTCTGCAGTTCTGTTTAGTTACAGGAAACATGTAACCCAGCTCCATCAGAACTGAATGAAAGGGACAGTCCATCAAATTGTTGGTCTGACATTTAAAGTTGAAAGATGAAAGGGCTGCAAGACAAATTGTGTTTTTATCTTTCTTACTGTGGCTCAGCATTGATATATAGAAATAAAAAGTAGCCTTTCTATTCTGTACACCATATCAGAAATTAAAATTACAGGGTTCCTGCACACAGGTATGGCTTTGTAATTAGATATGATTTCTAAGTGATGATATTGTAACTTGCTGTCTGTGAAATTTGTAAGCCTGATTCTATAATATTCTGCAGGTAGGACACTGACCTGTTGCTCTGAACTGCTGAGGTTGTCTGGAGCCCAAAAGCTCTTCTACCCCTCAGTTCTCTGAGGTTACAGCATTGTAGAAACCCTGTATCAGCTTTAAACTTCTTTAAACTTCTGCAATTTCTATCACAGGATCAATAAAGTATCTATCTATCTAAACAAGTTCATAGAAAGTTACTTCATTCTAAAAATATATTCTAAACATCAGCATCCTCAGTATCCTCTCTGTCTTATCCTAGAGTGACTCATCACGCACAGAGCTGGCAGTATCGAATGCCATGTGCTCACTAATGTTGCTGGAGGGCCTCTTGCATTTCAAAGGAAAAACACAAAAAATGTAACGAATCACAAACAGTAGATTTATTACACAGTGCAGCAGCAAGTCAAAATAAAAGCAGGAAAGGGATTTGCGACCAAATTGATTTTTTTGTCCAGTGCTGAACAGACATTGTGGTAACAGCAGAGACTCATCACAGTGCTGCAGTGGCTTTACAATACAGACTATAAATGTGTAGCAGGATAAATCTAGTGTGTTTTGAAAGCCCTAGTAATTGCATCATGGCGTAATCTGTGTCCTGTAGCCCAATTGTTTTCTTTCTGAGATAAAGGACTCACACTGTGATCTGATTCACACAGTCACTGCTGAGCTGAAAGCATATCAACTAGAATAGAACATGGAGGTTATACACACTGGATAGAGAG